CCCCAAAACCCCAAAACCCCAAAACCCCAAAACCCCAAAACCCCTTTGAGGCCAAGTTAAACTGAATATTAGAGTAGATTATTCCTCATTTTTGAGATATATCTTTACTTGTGAAGGTTTGTAGGTAGCTGCTTTTACTCCTTCCTCGACTTTTCTAGTCCCCTCAGTGCCAGGCAGAACTTTGTTTGTACATATTTCTTTGTATGATTTTAATGCTGGATTTCTTGAGGTTTTTGGTCTGGAATTAGTGATTTTATTTATATTTCGCCAATTTTGCCCCTTGACGAGTTTTTTCAGACCCGGCTTGATAACCACGAGCTGATTTTGAGTAACTGCTTGAGAACAGTTTTTGAGACTTGTGAGCGTATAATCTCTGTATTGCTCCTAGATTGCTATCAACGATCCTAGATTTAGGTTTTAAATTTTCATTTTTAGAATCAGGTAGCTCATCTTCGTGCAGTTTGAACTCAATGAGTCGGCCTTTCTCCCTAGATGTCTTTGCAGCACCATATTTGGATTTAGCTTCCTCATTAGTTGTCAAGTATTTAAGTTTTCTGGTCTTATTCTGAGCTTTCAACCTTTGGCTCTGAAGTAAACCTGACTTAGAACTGCTGAGCTTCTTTGTATCTAGATTAGCAGCTGACGAGCTTGGCTTTATTGAAGCATCAGTTGCTTTTGAGTTTCTTTTTCTATCATATTCTGATTTATTGGAGTACAAAACCTTTGTCTTTTTAGTTGGGATGACTACACTTTTCTTCTTCAGATGCTGTGAACTGCTGTTTTTATCATTCCTTCTAGAATTTGATTTGGAAAGATTAGATAGACATTTTTGAGAAGTCTTGCTGGAAGTAGAGCTGTTCTCCTTGGTTGCTGTATTTTCTCCTCTGGACTGTGTCCTGAGCTTTTTGGAGAAAATCTTAGGACGCCTAGTCTCAGAAGAAGAGTTAGTTCCTCCGTATCCTTTTCTGGCAATTTTTCTCTCAGTTTTGAGCAATACTGGCTTCACGCTGTCAGAAACAATGGTTCGAGTAGTATATGCTCCTGATTTGATAACCATTCCATTACTGGTGGGGGTTGAAACCTTCTTTGAGATATCACTTTTAGTGATGTACTTTTTGTGAGTATTATTTCTATCACCTAGACTCTGCCTAGAGTTCTTGACAGTGGATTTTTGCTGAATATCCTTCTTCAGGATACCTTTTCGCATCTTTTTGACACTCTGGGATTCGCTAAGTGTTGCTAGCTCAGGCTTGGATTTTCCGATGGATGACTTCTTCCTTCCATGAGCAGAGGTATTTTTGATGCTCAGGTATTGGTTGCCTGTCCAAGTCTCACCTCTGAAGTGGCCTTTCTCTTCTTTAGGCTTTGTTTTATAGCTAAGCTGATCTTTAGAGCCTGGCAAAGATTTTTTGGATGGCTTAATGGGGTCGAAAGCCGACTTTTTGTTACTCAAAATTTGGAAATTTTTTGTGTGCAAAGGCTTGGATTTTGCACCAGTTTTTATGTTTGTAGTGGACTTGCTTTGGTACATCCCTTTTATGGGGGAGTATTTGGAGGTGTGATAGTTAGATTTCTCATATCTCTGTGTTTTTAGAATCTTGTTATTATTTGTTCCAAAAATGTCCTTGTCGTTCAACCTTTTCTGTTGGCTAGAGTTCTTCTTCCTGCCAACTTTACTGAAATCAATCTTTGATCCTGAGCTAGTATTACTGATGGAAGATTTTTCTTTTGAATGTCCGATTTGATAGGTCTTAGGCTTTGTGTATTTGATTTCTTTGTGAGGCTGATTACGCTCGATGTCATTTGAAGTAATTTTGAGTGTGTAATCAACTCTCTTGACCTTCCGCTTCTTTTCTTCAGGCTTAGTCTTTGATTCTTCAATTTCTATTGTTTTGTCTAAAGAGATTGAATTGGATATTTGAGTGTCTATTTCGATGAAATCTTCAACTAGTTGATCCAGAGGGATCTCTATCTTGGAAGATCCAATCCCACTCTGATTTCAAATTTCTTGCATTTTCTGCCAGTTTGATTGCATTTGAATATCAGAATGCTGTGACAAAATTGATGAATTCATTTCATGCTCTTTAAATTGACTGTGCTTACTCAGACTATTCATAGAGTTTCAAAGACTTCCAGGCGCAATATTATTAACAGAATCAACAAACTTCGTATCAAAAAGCCTCTCCATCGACTCTGAGGAGTCCAAAAGGTTCGAAAATCCTCCAAAATCACCTCCCTGTGCCTTCTCCTTCCTCTCCTTGTGTTTCCTCTCCTTATCAGTCTTATACTTCTGTCTTTCATCAATCATCCTCTGTTTCCTCTCAATATTCTTAAACATATACTTATTCTCAGGCAGGACGACATAATTGGGGAATACCTTACTGTACTTGTCATAGAACTCATATATTTTGGTAAGTCTTGGCTTGGTCTCGAAGGAAGCGTACCTTCTTTTGAGGAACTCACTGATGTCATCGAGGATGAGGTAGTCTTTGAAGACAGACACTATGTGGGTGTTTTCGTTGTAGATTATGTCGTTTATTATTTTTACGTTGTAGAAGTCCTTGCTCGTCATGTATTTTTGGGAGAGGTTCTTGGAGATTTGGTGTAGGAGGGAGTCTGACTGGGCAGGGGTGGGAGAGCAGAAGGTGCAGTCTTTGCCGGATTTGTTTAGAGTGGAGATTATTTTGCAGGATTTGTTGAGGACGTAGGTTTTGAGGTTGGAGCTTGTGATGGCGAGGTGAGGGGATTTTAGGGTTGATTCGGAGTGGTCACCGCTTTTGAAGTAGGTTAAGGCTTCTCCGATGGTGTTTACGGTGGATTTTTGAGGTTTTGTGGTTTTGTATTTTGCCAGTTTTTCGTCAAGTTTTTGATTACTGCTCTCGATTCTGTTTGGAATGGTTGAGCTTGGGAATTCAATTCCTTCATTTTGGCAGTATTCGTCAGCATATTCGTTTCTGAAGTCTCCTGTTCCATTATTCGTATCATAATCTTCCCTATTACATCCATAGTTAGGATCCAATATGTAATCCTCTTCTTGGTTGTCATACTCTTTGGTTCCTTCTTTGGAGGTATTTTTCTGATTTTTCTGCGAATTTTGAGAGTATTCATATTCATACTCAAAATCTCCGTCATCTTCTTCACGAGGAGCTGAATGATTATCTAACTCTTCCTCGTTTTTATTTAGAAAATGTTGAGACCCGAGAGCCATTTGCCTGGCAGGAATAGTAACAATATCGTCTGAGTCACCGGCATCAAGCTCATAATTAGCTTCAACGTTATTATCTTGGAATCTATTTTTGTCAAATTTGTATTTATTATATTGAATGTCATTTTGTCTGTGCTGTCTTTTGAGAGTAGAATGAGACTCACTGCTCCTCATACACTTTTCTCCGCTCTTCTGAAATTTTTCTGAAGGAAAATAATCCTTATTTGACATATACTTTAAAATTATATAAATCAATTTGTTCATGATATATGGGGTTTTGGGGTTTTGGGGTTTTGGGGTTTTGGGG